GCTGATAGGAAGGAACAGATCACAGATTAATCAGCTGATAGGAAGGAACAGATCACAGATTAATCAGCTGATAGGAAGGAACAGATCACAGATTAATCAGCTGACAGGAAAGAACAGATCAGGGCAGAAATCAACTCCAAAGAAACAAAAACAATAGAAAAGAGAGAGTTGGTAGACTGGGTTGGTTTTAATAAAACTGAATTATCCAATCAGAATCAAGGGGAGTGGAGGCCTAGTGTTTAGAGCATAGAGCTTGGAATCCAGAGGTCCTGGGTCCCTGAGCAAGACCCAAAGTTGATGACGTCTGAAGCCTAGCTACTGCGATACCATGTCACCGCTTCAGGAAGTCGTTCAGAAAGAAGAACTTCAGCAGGCATGTAAACAGCCTCAGTGCTCAGTCCAGATGTTCGAGTTAGTAGGAGAGTTACTGTAGAGGTTGGATAGATTCTAAGAACCAATCTAGTTGGTTTAAACTATCTTGGTCAGATTAATATCTGTGCAGGCCATCGGACACAGCTGGAGCTCTACTGCTGAGTCGTATATCTCTGCATTCAGCAGATCAGTGTTGGAAGACTTTCACTCTGAAGGTTGATGGTTCAAGACCCAACTCTGACTTCTGGAAGTTGTGATTATACTTTTGGCTAATGAGACTCATTAGTATTGGTTTGCCCAAATATAGATTGGATAAAAACACTGCGGAATTAGATTGGTTGGTTGAACATAACTTTCAAGCCAATTAAAACCAGAAGCTGTGGAGAAACTAGCAGCCGGCCACAGTCACAGCAAACATGGCTACCTACCATGAAGCCGTCAGTGAAAAAAACAATGCTAATGCTTCGGTCCTGAAGCGGTCACACGGAGCTACGTCCCCAGCCATAGGCAGCCATGTTTGTTGTGACTTCTTCTTCTTCTTGTGAGGTTTTAATGGCGGTTGGCAAACTGGTGAGAAGTGCATCACCGCCACCAACTGATCTGGAGTAAAGCAAGGAAACAGGAAACCATTCACCCCAGAAACAAAGAAAACCTGTCTAACTTAACCCAACATAATAATTACTAAATCACATTTGCCTTTATAATTTAAATTTATCTCTAGGTTATCGTCACTCTGCCAGTTTCTGTTGGTCCGACTGGTTTTCCCATCATGTTTCCAACCATTTCCCAGTTTAAATCTTTAACTTCCAGAGATTTTTCTGCAGCTTTCACTATTTTTTTTCGGGTTTTTTGTCGTCTGTGCACTACAGCTGATCACTTCAACCATGAATAAAACAAAATCTTTTTAACAAAATTTTTTTGAATTTTCTTAAATTTTGGGACATTTCTCCAGAGGTTTGGAATCTGCCGTGTGTTGAACTGTTGGTTTGGGTTTTTCTAACCGAGATGGGATTTTTTTTAACAGCTTCAGCTTAAGTTATTCTGAGCTCTAATTTCTGCTCACTTCACAGCCGCGATAAGCAGCAGAATGTTCTCCTCCACAGTTACAGCATTTGATTTCAGCTTCTTTTCCACATTTTCTGTACTCATGTTCTCCTGCACACCTTCCACATCTCTGTTTCCTTTACAAACTGCTGCTATGGGTCCCAATGTTTGGCATTTAAAGCATCTCAAAGGTGGAGGATTGTAGATTTTGACATTATAGCTGATGTAACCAATGAATACTTTGCTGGGTAATTGCTCTTCTTCAAATTTAATTAATACCAATAAACTGTCAGATCTTTCTCTGTTTCTTGTTGTTTTTAATCGTTTTACTTCTTTTACTTTTTCACCGCTTATGTTTTCTAGAATCTCTTTTTCCAGACGCTCTTAGAGGAACTCCTCCAATGACTCCCCTGCTGATGGTTTTGTTCTCCATTAGGCTGCACTGAACTCTTATCCCATCAGTTTTGTTGATTTGTAAGGCTTTGCCTTGCTGGGCGCCGTCTCTGCAGTTCATTAGCAGGTCTCCACTCTACAGGATTCTGGCACTGAGGACTTCTCCTACTAGTTTATTCATGGTTTTTGTTAAGGGAACCGGATTCCAATTTGTAAAAGATTCTGTCTGATTAACGACTTTGAATATGACGTATTAATTCTGTTTTGCTGTGGAATGTATGGATCGATCATCACTTGAATGTTTTGAACTGGACTCCCCTTTAACTGATTGCTATCTTCCAACCTTCTTCATTGTCACTATTTCCTTCTTCCATCCCACAAGAATCGCTTCCTGTTTCCTCGCTACTCACGGCCCAGGACATTTCTCCACAAGCCGCTTAGAAACACGCGCCATGCCCCAAACGACCATCCTGTGAAAGTCTGTTTGTTGTGACTGTTGCCGACCAACCAATGGGCAGAAGGTGACCCTCTAAGCCACGCCCCTCATTTGCACAATGAGGCAGAAATGGAAAAACCAAAGGCAGAAATAAACAGCATGGAAGAAATAAATAGGGTAAAAAAATACAAAGGAAGAATAAAACAGACAAAAATATTATAACATGCACATAAATAAATGCTTAAAGAAATAAGTAATAAATAAAGTTGAAGAGTATAACGGACAATAAATAAACAAGGTAATTATTACAAAGGCAAAAAAACAAAGAAGCTAATTAAAAGATATATATACATTTAAGCCTCACTGTATAATTTAATTTCTACCAACTTTTATTTATTTATTGTATTTTTTTGGACGGGGCAATTAATTTTATGCTTATCATTTTTGGAGCTTTTATTCATTTCTGTATTTACTTTTAATTCTGGCAGGATTGGTCCTCCATAGAAACCAGAGGAGAGCTGAAAATCTGACTGTTTAAATGTCCAATAAAATAAAACAGGTTTAAATATCATTTTTAGGAGGATTTGCTCCTAAACCTTAGTTTTTAAAACGTTTCTAAGCTGGTTTCTGTTAATTCAGGATGATTAATAAAAGTCTGTAAATGTTTCCCGGACTGTAAATCCTGGATTGTTTCTTGAATCTTCTGATTAACGGTGAGAAGCAGCTTCACTCACCTCCTTCCAGTCGATCAAACACCGATAAACTAAAAACATAAACTAATTAAAAGCTTTTCTTTAGACGCAGCTAAACGCGGAGAGGCTGAAACTCCTCCTGCCGCCATCAAGCAAACTTTATCTCACTGCTTTAAAAAGCGCCAACAGGTTCAGTTAGCTAGCTCTGCACAGAGCAACACACGGAGCTAACAGGAAGCACCTGACCGGAAGCCCTTAAAGAAGCAAAGGGCGCGGCTGACACCGCCCCCTGTGGACACACCAGGAACTACAGCTAAGCGTTATAGGTCATCCTGGAGAATGGAAACTAGTTGAGATTACAGCTCTGTAGGCTTGGTAAAGGTCAACAAAGTCAAACTTAAACATTTATTTAAAGATGAAAATGTTATTTTAAAACTTTTACAATATCTTCTTAGGTTACATTTGGTCTTATTGTAGGATGGTAGCCTCTCATTATCACATATAGGTGGACCAACAGTTGGTCTCCTTGTTTGATGAAAGAAAATCCTCACATGGATCAAGGAAATGTTTCCAATCTGACTAAATAAATAACAAATAAAAGAATATCTGAAAATAAACAAGTGAAACTCAGACGTAGAGTCAATCTCTGCCATGATTGGTTCCTGTTCCTGTCAATCAGCCCTCTGCTCCTCATCCAGGAGTCTCAGGCTACCTTTTCTCTGTTTCAGCTCCTTCCAGAGATGCTCAGTAGGGTGGAGATCGGGGCCCCTAGGGGCCCCTTCAGAAAAGTCCAGAGTTTCCCTCTCAGCCGTTCGTGGCTGTTTCTAGCTCTGACCTTTGACCTGCTGCCCCTAAATATCCAGAAACTCTCTAATGAGCAACAAAATATACAATTATTAGAAATATTGCATATAGTTACACATGAGAACCTTTTACTCTCTGGTACATAAATATCTAATCATCCCATGAGTCTTAAAGTGATTTCAGGCTCCTGCACCTTCCTGTTATCCGTCTGTCTGTCAGCAGTCGTCCTCCTGCAGTCGCTTCCAGGAAGCTCAGCCTCCGTCTCTGAATAAAACGCTCAGCTGGAATCAGAGGAACATCCGCTGCTTGCTGCTCTGATAGCCTTTAACCTGCTGCTCTGTCTGAGACGACGCTTCATGTTGAGTGTGGTAAACGCCATGTCACCTGTAGCCTGTAGCCTTATAGACCCACTGGCTGGTTGTGATGTCACTGGTGACGTCATGACCCTTTGCTTTTCTAGAGGAGCCATCATTTTAGTCCAGGCTTAAATCTTGTTCCAGCCCGGTTCAACATCTTACTCTCATTTGTTGACTTTCATTGAACTTTAATTTATTAGTTGTTTTGTTGTTTCATTTTCAGCTTAATTCGTCATTCCACTGGCAGGAGTTCAGAGCAATGAAAGTCCCTCCCTGCATTTAATTTAAA